TTGTAAATGCAATTAAATGGGGTTATCATAAAACATATCACCCTATATTTGTCAATTCTTACCCTTTCCCTCCTGTCACAAACAATCACATATACCTGAAACCTTCTCCCTTCTAAACTGTGATAGCAGTTTTTACGTCAAAAATATTTTAAAAGATTTAAATGTAAAAGCATTTTAAAAATTCAACCTAATAAAAATAAGGCAATATGCATAAATGTAAGAAGTGTATGAAAAAACTTTGACAAACCCAAGATTTTCTTATTAAAATTACTCAAGTTTTAATGAAAAAAAAAAGCGCAATAATAAGTATTAATTTTTAATAAAAAGTTGCTAAAATAATTTTTTAAAGCTGCTCTTAGTCTTGCGGAAAAAATGTTTTCGATTTGATAACTTTCATTAACGTTATAAGAAATCACTCAGGAAGAGTGCCACCAGGTTTTTAGAATTTCCAATGTTAATTATTTTAAATGAATGAATTCAATACTTTTGCAATTCTTTTGTTACATAACTCTAACTGGAAATAATAGAAGTAAATCCACGACAGTAACCGCAAGGCAACGTTAGTTAGATACATAGTATCAAAAAAATCAGTTTATTTTCCTTACCCGGTCACCTATGATTAAAGTTTTTATATTTTTTAAATTGGCATAGAATTCTTAACATCTTGTGAAAGTTTCTAATATAAACCTAAATCAAACCTAAAAGTTAAAGCAATTTTTTTACCTAGTTTTCCGTGTAACGTAAGTTAAGTGGCATTTTTAGTAATAAGTTCACCCTTATTCAGCCAGACTCAAAATTATTTAACTTGTTTTATTCTTTAGACTAACAGCTTTCATACAAAATAGCTAAAAGTTTAATTTACAGTTGTTGCGCATGTAACTTAAGTTAAAAATGGAATTGCCTATATACATATATATATATATATATATATATATATATATATATATATATATATATATATATATATATATATATATATATAATATATATATATATATATATATATGTATATATATAATATATATATGTATATATATATATATATATGTATATATATATATATATGTATATATATATATATATATATATATATATATATATATATATATGTATATATATATATATTTATATATATATATATATATTTATATATATATATATACATATATATACATATATATATATATATATGTATATATATATATATATATATATATATATATATATATGTATATATATATATATATATATATATATATATATATATATATATATATATATACATGTATATATATATATTTATATATATATATACATATATATACATATATATATATGTATATATATATATATATATATATATATATATATATATATATATATATATATACATACATACATACATTCATACATACATACATACATACATACATACATACATACATACATACATACATACATACATACATACATACATACATACATACATACATACATACAGGATTCTTACTCCTCCTTAAAACCCTTGAATATCCTTAAAAAAAAATCCTCCTTAAAAGTCTTTATAACCTTAAAAAAAGTTAAAATTTGACTTTTTTTTTAATCATCTAGGAAATTTTATTAAAGTAAATGGATTATACTTACTAATAAAGAAGAAAATATATAGTTCTTTGATAGTTAGCAAATCTATATTTCTATTATATATATATTTATATATATGTAAAGTAATATATTAATTTATAAAAAATTTTCTGTTATATTTCAAATTTATTAAAAAAAATAAGATTCTATTTTTAATGTAACTGTTTTCTTCTTAACTCTTCTTACTTTTTTTTTATTCAAGAAATTGATATTCGTAACAAAATCTCCTTAAATATAAGGAAAATATCTCCTTAAAATCTTTACTTTTATCCTAAGTTTTAGTAGTGGGAACCCTGCTATATATATATATATATATATATATATATATATATATATATATATAATATATATATATATATATATATATATATATATATATATATATATATATATATATATATATATATATATATATATATATATATATATATATATATATATGTATGTATATATATATATATATATATGTATATATATATATATATATATATATATATATATATATATATATATATATATATATATATACATATATATATACATACATATATATATATATATATATATATATATACATATTAATCATTTTAAAATTATTAATAAATAGTCTTTCTTTTAGGTTTATGAAGTAATGACAGATAATTTGGTGATATTATGTCATAAAGTACTCACTAAAGTTACATACCTAAATTCTTTACCATTACTCAGAAAAAATCTAGTAAAAATTCTGCTGTGCTCAGATCAAAATTTTAAGAAAAACTACATTAACTCTGTGCAGCTTTTTGATTCAATGAAATATTTAGATACTTTTCAACAGCTACTTCAACAAAAGGTTAATTTTTTTTTAAACTTCTATTCTTTACACAAATAAATGAAGCACATTTTGTAACTTTTTTGTAAAATTGTGTTTTCAAAATTACTTATAATAATGATTTTTTGCATATTAGTCTTTATTTATGGTTTAAAGTTGGATAAAGTGATAAGAATATGATATTTTATAATATATCTTTATGAAAACTTAGCCCATCATATGCACACATATGCAAGTCAAAACAAGTTTGCATAATGTCATTTTAATACTTAAGAAAACTTTAAAAAACCAGTGTGTGTAACACACTATACATAATCCAAGTATTAACTTCTTTTAAAGTTAGTTACAGAAGAAAAGTCTTCTTCCATTTTCTTTGTTTTCTTTGTGTCCTTTAAATCTGTCCTGTTTCGGTTTGACTTCATATTTTAAATATTTTTCAAAAAGTTACAATTTTAGTATTAAGCGAAGGGTCGCACATGACACAAATATGTTTTCTTTCTAACTTACTGAAATTCTTCTTCCAAGGATATTTGCAATTTCACGAGTAGATAACAATGAGTTTTATCAAAACCTTCTGATAGCCAGGCTTAGATGTTTGAGCAAAATAGATAAGTTTGTACAGCTTTGAAGTCTTTTATACATTGAAATGAAAAATTTTTGTATTCTGTCTGAACCACTGATTGGGTGTTCATTCATATGTAAGTTTTTATATGTATATTTGTGTTATATCTGAACCTCTGTTACTGTATGTATTTTTGTGTTTTGCTTGAATCTCTGGTGTAGTTCAATTACCAACTAGTAACTCCAACTATAAAATTTACAATCAACTTAATTTCCATTATTCTGCTAGATGTAAGGTTTTTTCTAATGCATTTCTAAAATATTATGTTCAATATTTAAGTACTACTTAGAGCTAACTAGCTTTTTTTAACTACTCCAGGTCAGGTCAGGTTCAGGGTCATCACAATCACCTTGCTACTGGTATCATGTTACCCAATACAACCTACCCCATGTCCTGCTGCCTAGTAGGATTTGTATTTTTAGGCCAAGGCATGATTTTGTCTGATAAATGTCTCTCCTACGTAACAGGTTTTGAAATTTTTATTCCCTTTTTTCAGTTCCAAGTCTAGCCTCATTTCAATGTATTTCATGGTTTTCTCCTAACTCTAATCATTTTTTTCATCTTTCTCAAAAAAAAAAAAAAAAAAAAAAAATGAATTAGAAAAAAAGTTCTTTACAAAGAACTTTTTTTCTTATTCAACTTTTGAATATAATGGTTATACTCTTTCTGCCATTTCAGTTAAACAGATTAACCTATTGTTAGACATCCAAATCGCTCCAGCTTCCTATTTTAAAGCCATTTCTCAAGTGCTTGAATAAATTTTCCTGCTTGCTGGTCTTCTACATAAGCTTGCTTCATATGGTGTATTTGGGAAAATTTTTGATAATTATCAAATCATTTGTTTCTAACTGCTTTGTTAAAGTCATCCTCGAAGACCAACTCTCTTTTTTGTTTCAAATAATTTCAGGGGTACCTCAAGCTTCTACCTAAGTCCTGTATTGTTTCTTATCTACATTAATGATCTTCCTGAAAATCTTACATCATTAGTACATCAATCTTACATCTTCATCTTCATTAAAGTGGCTCCATTTGATGACAAGTAATTTTATACTCCTGTCTTGACAAAAAGTCTTCTCTTTTCGATCACTTAGAACAGACAGCCAATCTTGAATCTAATTTCATTTCTTCAACAGCTTGAGACTTGTGGTAGCTTGTCACTTTTAACTCCAAAAAAACTTGGTTATTTACTGCAAACAATTGTTTCAATGTTGTCTACATTCCAATATTGATGAATGGCAACCCTCTCACTGAGTCTTCTTTTTAACGTCTTTTTGGATTATCGTTCACTACTGACCTCTCAATCAAAAAGTTGTATACAATAGATTGCTAAATTAGCGTCTGCTAAGGTTGCTTCTCTTTATTGTGTTTGCCATTTTCTTCATGCTTATTCCACTCTCTATCTTCTTCTCTACAATTCTCTTATTAGCCCCTCTATGTTATACTTTTGTTATATATGGACTTGTTCTTCTAATGCTCTTTCTCTTCTATTCAAGGTTTAAAAATCCATTGTAAGTGTAGTTGGACCCCTCTATCTATCCATATTATATCATGGTCGCTGGTCAAAGGAGCTATCATCTCATTAACTAAAACTCATTTTCGCTTGACTGGTCAATTCAGCAAAGTCATTCTTTTACTGTATTTGTCCCTGCATGCTCTAAAAACTTTTATTTGTTAAGTTTTTTTTCCTCGCACTTCACCTTTGGAACTCTCTCCCATCTTTATGTTTTTCTGACTCTCTATTCTATTTTCTAGCAATTCCCAACTTTATAGTTTGAAGCCTTGTTGGGAGTGAATCAGAATTTAAAAAAAAATTATGATTTTGGATTTTTCTTTGAAGTCATATTTTGCATAAATATAATTTGTTTGTTAATGTATTATTTTGTTTAAGTTTTTAATTTCTATCGTAAACTATTAGTTTTGAAGAAAATTAATGTTTTTTTTACTTTTTTAATAAACTCTATGCCAATGATCTAAAGAGATTTCAGCAGCAAATTTAATTTAAAAATAGATTTTTATTTAACATAAACTATTACCTTATTGAAGATATAATGGAGTTAAAGTGAATGATCTATGCAAATAACTAGTGATTAAAATTTTGAAACAACTTTTTAATTAGATAAGTACTTGTTCTTTGAGGTTTCGGTCAGGTCACCCTGCTGCTGGTAGCATGTAGTCTAGTACAACCTGATTTACATGGGTCAGGTGAGGTATTAGGCTTGGTGACTGTGTTGCACTTAGTAAAAGGAAAACTCTGTTATAAAAAGTCCAGTTTAAATATGGGTAAGGTTACGAGAAGCTTATAAACATTGGATGATAATCTCCTTAATGGTATTATCATAATAAAAATACTTAGCCCTGCAAAACAGATTAAAGCCAGAAAGATATATAATTGAAAAAAATTACCTCAACCTTTTCATAATGTCATTTATATTTGAAGTATGAAGCAAATATGTATATGTGTATATATTTATATAAATATATATACATTGGAGCATAAATAATTTTTTTCAAGTTTTATTCAATGTATAAAATGAAAGAATATAAAACCTGGCATATAAAGAATATAAAATCATAATAATAATAATAATAATAATAATAATAATAATAATAATAATAATAATAATAATAATAATAATAATAATAATAATAATAATAGCAATAATAATAATAATAATAATAATAATAATAATAATAAATAATAGCAATAATAATAATAATAATAATAATAATAATAATAATAATAGCAATAATAATAATAGCAATAATAATAATAATAATAATAATAATAATAATAATAATAATAATAATAATAATAATAATATAATAATAATAATAATTATTATTATATTAGTCAAATGGAGACTGATATATATGTATATATGTAATATATATGTATGTGTATATATATGTATGTGTATATATATATATGTATATATATATATGTATATATATGTATGAATGTATGTATGTATGTATGTATGTATTTATGTATGTATGTATGTATGTATGTATGTATGTATGTATGTATGTATGTATGTATGTATGTATGTATGTATGTATGTATGTATGTATGTATGTATGTATGTATGTATGTATGTATATCTTTGGAATATACATCTACTGACCATCTAGGTATAATATGCAAGGAAATGTTGCTACATTGACTAAGGGTTTGGGTTGGAGCATAAATAATTTTTTATTTTTTTTTATTTTTTCTTATATATATATATATATATATATATATATATATATATATATATATATATAATATATATATATATATATATATATATATATATATATATATATATATATGTATATATATATATATATATATATATGTATATATATATATATATATATATATATATATATATATATATATATATATATATATTAAATATAAATATATATATATATATATATATATATATATATATATATATATATATATACATATATATATATGTATTTTATAGGGATATCAAAATGCTCTATTATATAGTTCGATTACCGATTCTCTTATATAAAAAAGTTTTATTCAATGTATAAAATGAAAGAATATAAAACCTGGCATATAAAGAATATAAAAATTATTATTATTATTACTATTGTAATTTTTACTACTATTGTCATTATCATCATTTTCTCATTTTCAATATCTCATTTTTTCATTTTCATTATCTCATTTTCTCATTTTGATTGTTATTATTACTTTTATTTTTATATGCTATTTTGATTGTTATTATTTAATTTTTATTTTTATATGCTATTTTTAAAAATTTAAGTAAACTTTGATTTTTTGGGGTTTTTTAGATTTACACTGAAAGACTATTTGAAGTTATATTCCTTATTTTACCTGGATTGTTTCTTCATGCAAAAAAAAGTTTTATTGAAGAAGTTGTAAATCTTTGCAGTATTTCTTATTTAAAAAAAAACTTGAAAAAAAAATCAGTTAAATTGTTTAGTTTAATGATCAATTACAAAGATGAAACTGTCAGAGAGATATTATATACATCAACCATAGCAGTTTTAAAGGTATCATGTTTAAAGACTATTTATACAAACTATTAAATACTAAAATTTATATATTTTATTAAAACTTCTATATTAGACTTAAAATTTTAAAAATTATTATTGTTATTAATAGTTGTTTATTGTTCACAAATAAATTTTTATAATTGTTATTTTATCATTTCTTTAATTAGTATTGGAATAGAGATTCTTGAATAAATTAATCTTAAATCAATGTTTTTTATGAGATATTTCTTGATTCAATATATGTTAAATTTTTTTTAAGAAATCAATGTCTGTTTCTTTGGTGTGTGAACCTCTTTCAACATTGTATCAACATGCTATGTTTCTTATTCGCAAAAATGTATTTTCAATAATCATCTGTGAAGATATTCACCATGACAACCAAAAGGTATTTGCATATATATATATATATATATATATATATATATATATATATATATATATATATATATATATATATATTAAAATACTTTAAATGAAAAAAATACAACTTTATGATGGAACTAAAAGTTTCATGCCATTCGGCAATCACCAGCCATATTATTCAAATAAAAAATAAAAACCGTTATAAAAAATACAAATTTAGTGTTGCAACGGCATCTGACGTCAATTATATGTGATCCGATATTTGCTAATCGCCGGAATCAAAGTTAGATAGTAAAAATTTTTTCCTATGCCTACAAGCAGAAACCAATTCACTTTTTTTGTTAAGTAGTAGTCGACTATCAAAAGTCATAATAAAATACTTTTCATTGATGCAAAGGTTACACTTTTTTGTATATGGGTTAAAAGATTGGCATCTTTTAATTATGTTCCACTTAATTATAGGCATGTTACCCACGTCTTTAAGTTTCCAGATTTCCTTGGAAAGTTCCGTATCATTCCTATACCTGGTTGCATTAATTGATTCAAGATGGTTTGCAAATCTGAGCTTGAATGTGTTTTCACTAATTTTGATGTAGGATTTTTCGGTAAGACTGGTATTAGGTGATTTGAAAGTGGCTTTATATACAACTTTTTTTGATAGACTGATTATTTAACGGGCATGTGGTTTTATTAATGCAGTTGCAGTTTATATCATTATTGGTAAGTTTGTTGCGCAAAATTTGTTGGTTGTGTGAATTAATTATTAATCGAATATTTGGCATGCAGCTGTAACTAATTTTTATTGTGTTTCTGTTGAATATTTTGTGGAGCTTACGATGTAATGGAAAATGCAAGTCAATTAAGTTAAAGAAAAGATGTCCAATTTTTGTTATCACATTTTTACTGTAAGGAGGGTTAAACCATATAATATTTCTTTTTCTATTATTAGTAATAGAAGAATTTAGATTTGAATGATATTGGAGAATGGTGTGAAATCCAGACTTTTCTAATGCGTTAGCAGTCTTTTGGAATATTTTTTCGCTTGAAAAATTGGAAGATTGGACTTAATTAAACTTAACTACTTTTCACACACTGATGATCTAAGGAACACTTTATGTCTTTAAACATATATATGTTTAAAGACATAAGATCTATCTCACTTCCTTCCATCTATCTTTATCTCACTTCCTTTTTATCAAAAAATTGAGGTTAAGTTTAAAAAATGCATTTAATGGTCAAAAAAATTTAAACTTTCTGCCATTTTGAATTTTTTTTTCATGGAAAACATTCACGTACAAAATATCTATTTTTTACAGAAAAAATTTTGAAAATCGATGAAACCAATCAAAAGTTATTGCATTTTTTGTCTTTTAATCTAAAAAAAAGTGACAACAGGAATTGCTCATAGCAGCTAAAGGAGAAATCAAATCAAAAAATCCTCAAGATACCTTTTAGATAAAGGGCTAAAGAATTTTTTGATAAGTATTTAAATTTTTTTCTTTAACTAGAAGTTGGTGTAATAACCAGCTCAAAAAGTGACTCACTGCATTCAGCAGGTTCTCTGGCACTTTCAGTTCTGCTGATCAAAAAAATACTTAAATGTTTAGATGCCCACAAACATCCTCTTTAAAAAGATATCAAAGTTGAATGAAAAATCACAGAAATATTTAAACCAAACTAAAGAATGGACTTAACTACTTTTCACTTTTTATTTGACAGGGGCTATAAAAGGGGTACTGCCGCCCAAATTTTTTTTCTGGAATATATATATATATATATATATATATATATATATATATATATATATATATATATATATATATATATATATATATATATATATATATATATATATATATATATACACCCATATAGTGTAGCTTTAAGAGCATTTTAATGTAAAAAAAGTCTCTTACGACTACAATTTTAATTACCTCGTCTCTTAAGCTGTTTTTGATTGTCATCGAAATGTCAAAGCAATTAATTTATGCTGAAGTACATTAAATTTAATTGTTTTTTAAAAAATTTTTAAAAAACCGCAATTATAACGACTAGAAAGTTTTTTTTAATTAGTGGTGTTTTTGTTATTGATTTAATAAAAAACATTTTTAAAACATGCGTAAATGTTGCTACATCGACTATCTTATAACCTGACTCGCAACGGAGTGCTGCTACATCGACTGACAAATAGCCTGACTCGCAACGGAGTGCTGCTACATCGACTGACAAATAGCCTGACTCGCAACGTAGTGCTGCTACATCGACTGACTAATAGCCTGACTCGCAAGGGAATGCTGCTACATTGACTGACAAATAGCCTGACTCGCAAGGGAGTGCTGCTACAACGACTGACAATAAGCCTGACTCGCAAGAGAGTGCTGCTACATCGACTGAGGGTTTGGTTTGGCCAGGCAGTCTATCAATTAAAAAAAAAATTTAAATTTTAAAACTTTTTCTGGTCTGGTTTATTAACGCGCTCTTTAAAACTACAGTTTATGGGAAACTTTTTTTGATGCCGTGCAAGAGACATGCAAGAGTATATATATATATATATATATATGTATATATATGTATATATATATATATATATATATATATATATATATATGTATATATATATATATATATAGATATATATATATATATATATATATATGTATATGTATATGTATATGTATATGTATATGTATATATTATATATATATATATATATATATATATATATATATATATATATATATATATATAAGGGTGTCCCAAAAAACAACATTTAAAAAAAATTTATGATGCCACTCTCTAAATGTGTTCAATTTGATTAAATAACACTTGTTTTGAAAATTTTTTGAATAAAATAATTTATTTTTATTGAACATAAAACATGTTCCTAATATTATCAAAAGAAAATTCTTCAAAAGTGTTATCATGTTTTTTTTTTCAAAAAAATTCAAAAATTATAGTTATATTATAAAAAACTTATTGAAAAAAAAAATATTGTCAAAAAAATTGGTAAAAATGCACTTTTTCCTTTTTTGAGTTAATAAAGGTCATTTTTTATGCTGTAAAGTCTAATATTTTTATCTTTTGTTTTTACATGTTCCTCATGTTCTTTGTTTAAGGATCTTGAGATACCCCTAAAAATATTTTTTGTTCAAAAAATTTTTAAAACCAGTGTTTTTTTATTATATAGAACACATTAAAGGGATGGCAGCATATATTTTTCAAAAATGTTTTTTGGGACACCCTATATAATATTATATTATACAGGGCTCAAATTAATGCAAAAAGATCGCAAAAAAAAAAAAAAATTTGCTTTGAATTTTAAACTTCATATTTAGGCAAAAACATGCCTATAGACTTAAAAAGTCTATAATATTTAACCCAAAAAAGTTTTTAATATTATTTCTCGATCTAGCGTACTATTAAAAGTTTAAGTATAATTAAGTTTTTCATTCAAATGATTTTTAAGTTGATGTTTTTATTCAATTTTTTCATTAAAATTGTTTTGCAATAAAAAGTGAAACAAAAAAATTTGGTCAACTTATTTCCTTAAGTTACAATCAACTACATTTTTGATTGTAACTACAGTTACAATCAACTACAATCAACTTATTTCCTTAAGTTTAAGAATATGGGCAATTCCACAGCGGAAAATAAAAAAGTAGTCAAATTTTATTTCCTTTTTTGTTAACTTTTAGCTAATGAATATTGATTTAGACACATAAAAGTATATTTAAAATACACATTTAGTACTAAAATTAATTTATTTAACTCATTTTTATGCTTCCGAAAGTTATGGTTTTACTCATTGTCGCATCATAAAAAAAAAAATCATGGTAAAATGTTATTTTAACTATAAATTTATTTACATAATCCAAATTAATTTAGTGTAAATAGAGCTAACATGTTTAATTTGTTGGTGGTCAGATTTTATATTTTAAAAGATAAATATATTTCAAGAAAATAATGAAAGAATTTTGCAATTTTCATGTAACATAAATTAACAAAAACATGATAAAGTTTTTTTTTTTAATTTAGTTAAAAAACTTATTTTTTTATAATATATGTGAAAGAATATTAAATGTTAAGTTTTTATATTTATAGTTATAGCATATTTAATTTTAAATTTGTGTAATCTAAGTTAAACTGCATGCATTTACTTTTGTTGCATACAAAATGAACTATTACATTTTTACGTAATTTGTATTTGGTCCATATTTTTTGTTTTAGTAATCAAATTGTTTATCATCCATAAAGTCACCCTATATTTGTTAATTTTTACCCCTTTTCTCTTGTCACAAATGATCACATCCCTTTCCCTCCTAAACTGTGATTTAGTTTTTATGTCAAAATTATTTTAAAAGGTTTAAATGTAAATTCTTTTATTTTAAAAATTCAACCTAATAAAAAATAGGCAATAACAAAAGACTTAATAAGTAATAATAAAGTTGTCATACTAAAGTAATTTTTTTAAATTGCTGTTGGTCATGCCAAAAAAGCTGTTTTCTATTTGATAACTTTCATAAGTTTTACGAAAAATTGCTCAGGAAGAGTGCCACCAGTTTTTAAAAATTGCCTTTGTTAATTACTTTTGATGAATGTGTTCAATACTTTTGCAATTCTTTTGTTACGTAACTCTAAAAACTCTAACTATTAATAATAGATATAAAAAATCCACGATAATAATCGCTCTGTAGCCTAAGTTAAATATATAGTATCAAAATAACAAGCTTATTTTCTTTAGCTGGTCACCTCTGATGATTTTTTAAATATTTTTTCAATTGGTTTAGAATTCTAAACATCTTGTAAAAATTTTTAATACAATTCGCTTTTAAGCATATTTGTTTATTTTTTAAAATCTTATATTTTTTTAACTGAATTTTTCTAATATCTTTTAAAACAATGGTTTGACTCTGATTGGGAAGGCTCTGATTTAGGAATATTTTTATTTTTTTAAACAAGAATTACTTCATCTTATAGCATAATATTGCTACATTGACTATCTTATAGCCTAAACATGTTTGC